TTGCAAGGACTTGAATAGTTGGAGCAGACATGAATACGAAAATACAGCTGGAGTCTGGATTTGCGTGCTGGAGAATGTATGATCGCGATGCTAACGTTCATTTACTCCATGTAGCATGTCTTTATCAGGAGCACTTATCTCCTTCATAGTGGCCCGCGGCCTGGCTTTTGTCCAACATGGCTTACTAACTTTAGATGTTCAAAACTATTTAAAAAATGCGCTAAGGACAAGGGGAAAGAGAGCTAAAATACGACATCTTCATTTTGTATGAAATCAGTCAGCGTCATAGCCTCGTTTGGAGTGACTTCGTCAGCATCGCTACAGGGCCCGGCCAGCTGTGTTTGTTTGAGCGCTTGACAGCAATGGCAAGATTCCATCGCCGGTTACCGGTGGACGCTTTGAATTCATGGTTCACCTCCGAATTGCTGCCAACAACAGTGCAACCCGCTGTTGAGAGCCATTACTCTACTCATAGTGATGCTCGTTCAACGATCAATCCTGACCATCACATCGCTTATTACTGTATGGCATGTTCTAGGTATATCGACACACCAAGGACAGTTCTCACAATTCCAAAAACAACTTTCGGACTTTCGGCTGATTCCTTTTTCACTGAAGTCTAGCGTCGCTGGCTTGTTAACCAATATATCCCAAAAATTAGGGTTCCAGTTATCCGAGCTATAAAATTTCTGTTTGCGGGCCAAAGCACAAGGACTGCCCCACACAAATATGATGGATTGATATTGACGGGCTATAGTGTGTCCTACAGGGATTTGATTTATCCAGGTCTCCCACCTCCCCTCGAGGCTCCGTGCAGAGCAACCTGCAACCCAACTCCCAAAACTTTCCAATTTTCAACCCTTCTCGTGCCTGTCCTTCAAACCATCCATACTTATCAAGCCGTGGTTCTATCGTAGCAGTACCAATTTCGAGATGTCCGCTTTTGAAACCAGATGTTAGCCATTGTCATTCCCAGCATATAATACAATTCATTTTTGTACAAGATTCAAACAGCCACACTTACTGACACCAAGCAAATGTCTTTGGTTTTGTCACAACAATCCACCAACCTGCAGTCAGTCCCACGGAGAGCACATTTTCTGTCGTCTAACTCTCGAGGGGCCGGTTGAGGGTATGCCATGACTGACGTCGTGGTGATGCCTGCAAAGATAACAAGATTAAGGAAGAGCTTGATTTTTTTTTTTTTTTTTATCTGGGATAGGTAACTTAAAAATTATCCATTAGTATATTTTGCTGGCTGCTGGATTAAACATATGCGCTTACTTTCGTATGGTGTCAAGACTCAGGAGTTTCGGTCTCAATGTAGGTGAAAGATACCTTTACGAGATCAATATTGAATGCGGGCTCGTCATCTTTTTATTTTCAATTTATACTGTGCTTCCAAGAGTCCCTTGTCATTGAGCAATGCAAGTTTTAACACAAAATCAATCACATCTTGCGCTGTGTACATTTCTCTTTGTCCAGGTTCACAAGCAATGCATTATAACAACATGGACATGTATGTAAAGTACTTGTACTGTCCAATACAATATGCAGGTTTTCAAGCTCAAAGTTTTATCGGGACACCATAGCGAGGGATGAGTTCTACATGATTAGGCACTTGAACAGGGTATTTTCCTAGCGGGTTACTTCTCCGTTCTGCTCTGGCAATGACAAAACAGAATAATCATAGGTTCTCAGCTCCCTCCTTTGTATTTACGTCAGAAAATCGCGAATTAAATATATAGATATATATGCCTCCTATTTTTTCAGACTCCCAAGGAAGCCTGAATCACAAAGAAGAGTCTGCATATAGATAACACTTTTAGCTACTCCAAGCACCTGATAGTCGGGGAAACGATTACAATCTGTACATATTTATTGACGGGGAGAAAAGTCCTGCAACATGCTTGAGGGATAATCCCACCGTACACAAAGAAAAGGAAGTTGGAAGGTACACCAACGAAGCAGCTGCCTGGGTCACCCTTCCTTTCATTCCTCACCTTTGTCTTTTGCTAACCTAGCATGCTTGTAGCCCGGATGCTCGTCTATTCTTCCATTTGGCTCCTCGCGTTCCAAATTCCAAACCTCGAGGTAGTAGTTCCTGTGGAGCTTCTGACACAGGTTGAATCACTGCATGCAGGGAAAGTCGAGCTACGCCGTCATTGGCTGCATGCGTCCTGCAGGCTTCAATGAGAAGCCAATGCATAGTGGGCTGGTTGATGGTTCCATTTTACCTCGCCCATGATGATCTCGGCAGATCATATGTGTGTTGTGACTGTCAGCCCAGGTCGACCTTCCGACAAGAAAAATGATGGAGCCTCAGGTGCGTGGATCAGGGAATTGCCTCTCACATTAAGATAAGTCATTTGGCCTGAGGATAGCTGTGCAATCCTAATTTTTTATGTAATTAGTTCCCCAGAATGGTAGGACAGTTCTGGCTTGTCTTCGAATACACTCTTCAGATATGTTCTTTGCGTTTTCAGCATAGGAGGTTTGGTTGAGAAGATAAATGGTGAGATGAAAAAGCTAGTCCCATACGGATATAATGATAATATAAATTTTGACAGGAAGATAGAAATGTCATAACTTTCTGGACTTAGCGTGCAAACAAATTAGTGTGCAACAGGGGCAATAAGTACTATGATGAATAATGGTGTCCCTAACATTTTGGAAGAAAAAGGGGTCAGACCAGACACTACACTATCAGTCAACGGGAAAACAGTCATTCAACCTATACGCCAGGCTCCACCATGCAGGACACTGACTCATATGCACACCGCTCGTATCCTCAATCAACATCGCCCCTAAGAGCCGTATAATTTTTTCAAAACCGGTATTTACATCACAACTGTGGTGTCTAACCCACGTAACCAAGATTGGAAATGACATAATTCTCATTCCTGCAGGTCCCTTTTAGCTCCTCCCACTTTGTGCGGGGCTTGGTTGGATACCCAACCTAGCTTCCAATTGATGAAATGAGTTGTCGATCGCCAGGAAAATAATCCCGAAACTCCCAGCTATGCAATGTTCGACTATATCCCGTAGCTCTCAGCGCTGTAGATACTGCGCCTATGTCCGGGGTGGGTGGTCATTGTTCGAAGTGACGAGTCTGGTCCAGTGGGAGCTCGTACGTATGGGAAATATCTTGCTCTGTAAACTCATGGTAGGGTGCATCGGGAACAGAAGGGCTTGGAACATGCAAGTTTTGAGGCGGCGGATCATGAGGCTCTGTGGATAAATTTTGGTGTCCATGGAGCCTTGTATCAGTGCTGTCCCTGTAGTCTGATCTAGCGAGGTTCGCAGGCGATATTCGCGACGACGGGCCGACATTTGTCTCCGCAGAAAAACCAGGAGAAGTTTGATATCGAGCATCTAGATATGCCAACACCTGCTTAAGCCGGTTCAAGTCGAGGTTGCATATGTCGATGATTTTCTTGAGTATTTTGCGGACCTTTTGAGCGACCAGATATGTTTGTTCTAATTCCAGGAGTGTCTGCACGCAGATGGCTAAATAGGTGTACTCATTGGTTACGTCAGTGGTTTTAATCCTTTCTGCAATGTCCGATATGAGTACGGTGCAGGCCATCTCAATAATATGTAGCGCTATTCCACTTAGGGTGGTTGCATTGTTATGGAAACCCCGATAGTCCGCGAGAAAGTGCGCGATTTTGATAGCATGCAGTACACAGATATTTCGAAATTTGTCCGCAGTCTCTATCTTTCGCTTGTCAACTTTTCCAAAGCCAGCTAGTGGGCGATATAGGATAATGATCGCTGCACAATATTGCATACTGGGAATAAGGGAGAAAACATGTCAGCTCATTGTGTTGTTTCCAGTTTTGGTGACATCAGGGGAGGCATACTGCATGACTGCAACCGATGGAAGTCCGTCTTTTCTATAATATAGTTGAGGGTCCAAACGGCTGTACCAATGGTGGAGCTGGTCACCTAAAATGTTGATTTCCGCCATCGTACACTGATTTCGATTCCTGTAGTCAGACTAGTTAAAAGCTGTTTAGAATACTGTTATATCTGAACCGACATACAAACTCTCACAGACGAGTCCCACCAACTCCAAAAGAGAGGCCAGGAACCGGCCAGTAGCGAGTGTAATGGTAACGATGCATTTTCCTTAGACAGTCGAGGGACGGTTACGTTTTCGTCGAGGGTCAAGAAAAAGGAGCGCCCAAGATACAAACCCCAAAGTCTACATATGCGATGTCAGGCAAATTGCTTGAGTATGTCCCGGAATATCGACATTGCGGGATTAAAGGCTTACCTATCGAAAACAAAACATCCCCAAAAAGTAATCTGGCGAGCTTCCATGTCAATTTGTGGAATACGCTCATTGGAACAGTCACGGTGGAGGCCCATCTCAATCGCAAGACGGCAAGCTGTGTTTGTAAGTGCCAAACCCGCCATATCATTAGAGAATGCACAATATATAACTGATAGTAATAGCAATGACTGTATAGTCGTTACCCCAGGGTTTTCTCTCTCTTCTTCAAGTAATCTCGAAGCTTCAGCAAACAAGCACTGGTGATCACCTGGGTGCGATGGCTCCTTTCCTCTGTGGACTCTATCGGACGGCAGAACTAAAACACGTATTTCTGGCCGGGGTGAGATTCTTGCCGCGCATGCCATAATGCAATAGAGCAAAGTTTTACTGTAGAAGCCTGTTTTGCCTGCAGCCATATCGCGCATATAGGTCGAGCAAATAGTTCTGAGTGTCCATGTCGACTTCAAGGCGGGAGCCAAAAGGTGGCCCTGTGGCCCTTGCTCCCCATGCACTAAGAGTCGACCAGGGCTCGCCCTCCTCATGTTCTTTTACTGTTAGATGTAAGCTTGAGGTTGGGCCGCCATATTTTACTCTGCCATCTAGATGATATCTACCATCACAGAGACAAGCAATGACATTCTCCGGGTACGTCCTAATGAGTGGCGATGGGAGATAACTAGGAAATTGGTTGAGCTCATATAGAGTCATGATCTCGCGTGCTTGTATGCTGCGATGGAATTCACTCTCGCGAAGAGCCTTCTCGAGGTCCTCAATTCGATTGTGTAGTTCCCGGATATACCGCTTGGATGAGGGTCTGAGTCAAATGTTAATTGTTTTTATCTAGAAGGCATGTGCTATCGTGTGAGCAAACCTTTTCCGTTCGTCAACCTCGGGCCCCGGGCATGGTATTCCCAGCTTTTTGCATTTCTTGCAACCGCCATCCTCTGGTTGACACTACGTCGAAAATGACGTTAGAAGCGTTTTTCACACATTTACCCCAATACAAAAATGCGAATGTATTCCAATATTTCAACATAAATCTTGCAGCAGACCTTAATTTTCTTTGCTCGGCAATTTAAGCAGGCCAAAGTGAGAACCGTACCGGGTTTCCCAACTGTCTGAATAGTTTCCGTTTCCGGGCTGCCTTGCAGGCGGAGGCGAGAACGGGGTTGAATTCCAGGCCAAGGTCTCTGTACAACATTGGGTTGAGAAGGTTGGGGTCCAAAAGGTGGCGATGATGCCGGTTGTGGTGTCGGCTGGACTTGCTGGACTGGCGGCTGCGGCCGAGTTGCTGCTCCGGCTTCACGTTTAAGGTTCTCATCCCGTCCTTGCATCATGGCAGGGTCGACTCCTGACATCAACGGCGCGTACATGGGGAAATACAAGTCGGAGGGCTCCATCGTGGTCGTTGAGACAGGTCCAGCAACCGCTCAAGGGCTGCTGGGTCTGATTGATTGGCGTCTGCTCAAATATAAGGATAGCTGTTTATACGGGCTGGAAGATCAAGACGACCATCAGCTCCACCGTGTTCATTTCACTTCAGCGCTATTCAGCCATCGCCCAAGCAACTGAATCGATAATAAAAATAAAGAGAAATGACCGGGATTCAGAAGTCCACAAGTTATGTCCTCCAAAAGCAATGTACCAGCCCTGCAAGGCCGTGGTAAATAATGCAGAAACTGATCTTCAAACCGCCAAAGCGGTAGTTCGCGTTTAGCTTATCTGGAAGTTCTTCCTACATAACTGAAGTTCTTTCGAGAGGGTAATAGGCTCCTGTCTCAGCAGACGTTGGCAATGAACTCGCCGCTGTCAGTAGAATGTATCTCACCTGCTATGATGAATGCGGCATAGTGCTGACTGAGGCTGACCACTTTTATGCAGCCAAGTGACTAACTGGTCTGCATGTTCAAGGCCTTTCAGCCGCGGTCAACGAAGTTAGCTCACTATGTAGTAGTTAACTAACTAACTAGTTAGTTAACGTAATTCCCAAGCGAGCGAGCAGCCCAAGCGAGCGAGCAGCCAAATTCTTCCACCTACTAATTTACCTACTCATCCACTTCAACGCGCAATTATGCCACCAATTCGCTCTAAAGATGCTAGGAACTCTATAGAGATAGAGGGAAGACTTGAACTCGCGATAAATGCTATTAAAAAGTAGGAAATATCCTCTATTTCTGAAGCTGCACGCATCTTTAATGTGCCACGCTCTACACTTGGTCATAGACTCAGTGGTCGATCTTCACGGGTGAATTTACGCGCAAATTCACATAAATTAACTCCTGATGAAGAGGATAAGCTTGTTCAATGGATCCTAGACCTAGCTTTACGAGGACTACCACCCCGGCCTGCATTTGTGGAGAATATGGCTAATCATCTTCTTGCCATACGGAAGCCTAGCCATACAAACCACCCTCCTCGCGTTGGCAAGAACTGGGTGTCAAATCTAGTGGCACGCCGTCCAGAGCTCCAATGCCGCTTCTCAAGACGCTATAACCATGATCGGGCCAAGTGTGAAGACCGCAGGATTGTGGAGGATTGGTTTAAGACCCTAGAGAGGGTAATGACTGAGCATGGGATTGTGTTTGAAGATATTTACAACTTTGATGAAGCTGGGTTTGCAATGGGGCTCTGTGCAACTACCAAGGTCATTACTAGTGCTGAGCACTACGGACGAGCAACTCTTATACAGCCTGGGAATCGTGAGTGGGTGACTGCAATTGAGTCAGTCAACGCGTCAGGATGGGCCCCTCCGCCGTATATTATCCTCAAAGGTCACAATATTCAGGAAGGCTGGTTTGACGGGCTGCCGGAAGGCTGGAGATTGGATGTTAGTCCTAATGGCTGGACCACAGATGAGATAGGAATCAAATGGCTTACACGGCTGTTTATTCCAGCTGCAAATCCACGCAGGGTTGGAACCCATATTCTTCTTATTCTGGACGGGCACGGCAGTCATCTTACTCCGGAATTTGACCAAATCTGCAGTGAGAATAAGATTATTCCTCTCTGCATGCCACCACATTCTTCACACCTTTTGCAGCCACTAGATGTGGGTGTTTTTGCACCTTTAAAGCGCGCGTACGGAACCCTAGTTGAACAGCGAATGCGGCTAGGATTCAACACCATTAAGAAGGCAGATTTCCTAGATGCCTATCCTGCAGCACGTCGGGAAGCCTTCAAGGCTTCAAACATTCAAAGTGGGTTCAGGGCCACTGGAATAGTTCCATTGGATCCTCAATGCGTTGTTCAGCAGCTGAATATTCAACTCCGAACCCCTACTCCCCCAGCCAGCAGGTCAAGCAATTCAACGTCATCCTGGATCCTACAAACACCTAGTAACCCCCGGCAATTGCAGAAGCAGGTGAATAAGGTCAGAAATCTTATGGATCAGGATCAACCTCATGGGTTAGTGGAAGGCTTTGACCAAATAATCAAGGCCTGCGAATACGGGATGGTCAGCGCCATGGTTATGAAGAAGCAGTATGAGGATATTTTCAATGCAAATGAGAAAGAGAAGCAAAAACGCAAGAGGTCTACACGCAGGATCCCAAGTGCAGGGGGTCTAACTAGGAATGAAGCTCAGAATCTTATTATTCCTGCAGCTGAGCCTGTTGAACAGCCTGTTATTCAACATTCCGTACCTGCGGCCCCGGAGCCTAGACCCCGCATACGAGCGCCACAACGCTGCAGCAATTGCAATACTGTTGGGCATACAAGAATAAGATGTCCTCAACTTCATGTAATTTAATTTAATTTAATTAGTGGTTGGTGGGAGTAGATAATTTGATTTAAATTCTGGTTAGTTGAGATATGCTAGTTTTGCTGCTCGCTCGCTTGGGAATTACGTTAGTTAATCGAACGAGTTTGTCATCGCTCTGCTTCTTCACACAGATGCTGTTCCGAAGGCCTGTTCAAAATGAAAAATCCTAGGGCGTGCGATTCAACATTTGCCAAGGTTTCCGCAACGGAATGAGCGCCATTGTTTTCCATCCATCTGTATTCAAGTCCAAGAGGTCTAGGGCGGGGGAATTCTCTCCAATGATAGGATTCTAACGGCGCCACCGTGCTGAACAGGCCTCCAAGCTCAGCCAAGCACGCTGTTTTATAGTTGCATATGATGATTTTCTCTGACTCACCGAAGCTTCATGCATGTCAGGGTTGAGTGAGATCTTTTAATCTCGTTCGTTAAGATGAGACTGTCAGGGCAGTGTTTAACCATATGAAAAATCATTAGCATTGACATTTTGTTTAAACAGTATTTAGTGACTACACATATAACTGCAACAGTGTCAACGATGACCCAAGCACCCATGATATGGTATTTTTTTACTATTTGAAGGTGTGCTCAATTGAAGGTTAGCTAACTGGGTGTTAGGATGTCTTTTTGCGGGCGGTGTTACAATGGGAGTGTAAGTCTAAAATAATCCTCCTGAGCACTTCTTGTAGAACTCATAAACAACGAATGGATTTTTAGAGATAGCGATTACACTTTATAGAATAGATTAATATGCTCTGAAATATCTTTCTTTGAGCCTTTGGTTTATTCTCTTCTTTTCTGCTCTCAGCTACAGAACCTATGGACTTGCTGTAGCTTCTCCGTGTTCCCTATTTTACTAGTTTGATATAGTATCATCCACTCTACAGTTATAATAGTTGTCGCTGCAAAAGGCTGTATTATTGATGTGATTTACAATTATCCGATCTGGAAGATAATTTTTTTCTTCACTTTAATCTAATTACCATACAGTGATATACATATTCACATAGTTATTTCTGGGAAATGAATAACAAAATGTAGTAAATAATAATAAATGTTATAGCATGTCAATTGTTCCCATACCACTTCTTATTCAGCCTTTTAATATAAGTTTGTTATTCGATTCAATAATTCGATACGCAAGATTTATTGCTCATAGATAAATATATTCCTTGTTGCATTCTGCACCTGAGACAAGGCCAACAGCTGGCCCCGTCCCCGGTGGCTTTCTCAAAAAAAAAAAAAAAAAAAAAAAAAAAAAAAAAAAAAAAAAAAAAGCGGGCCAGCCATGGAATGGAATGTATGGAGTTCTCGAAGTTTTGTTGTTGCGGTATCTTGAAAAGCTCAAGAATAAACTCTGGCAAAGCCTCCAGAGTAACGACAATGCAATGATGTTTCTTGGGGTTTTCCTTTAAATCGTTTTAACTCCTTTTTACAGCTATCCAACACCTTATCGCATTCCTTCGACCTCTGGGAGACAGTTTGCAAGGTCTCCCTTTACCGGATGACCCGAATCTTTCGCGGGTGGGCCGCTTCCGCCCTGCGCGGCGGTAAATCTCATGAAGCTCGATTCGATTTCATCGATCATTTCCTTCATGCAAGCATTCAATTTAGGGGACACTGGTTGCGCGGAAAAGAGCTTGCTGGATACAACAAATACATGCATCCAATTTTCTTTCTATATAGGTTCCCTGGTTCCGTCTCTGTTCGTCATGAATTTTCCATCACCATGAACCGCTTTATTGTCCACCCGAAATGTTAAATACGTACTCTCCTAGATACCCCCTCCTTTTCATCCTGCCTGCTGTCTCCTTAAGGTGAAGAAATATCGCTTGATGAAATGCATATATGTCTGCACACTGTAACAGTACATGAGCATGTACAGTACATGCGTTCATACGAAAATCCAGCCTGACTGAATTCAGGTTATTGCACCATTTCCACGGACGATTTCCAGGTAGATTGAAAAGCCCCATTTGTGGCTAAAAGTGTGCATGGGATATTCCATTATTCAGTGGGAAGGAGGTAAATTCATTCGAGACTCAGCGCTGAAAAGCGTATTAGAGCTACACATGCAGGATTTCTGTTTTCCCCATCCCCTCTTTTTTCATATTATTAAATATATACATCAATTTCTTTCCACCTCTCCTTCACAACTAAAGCACAGGTGATGGTATACGCTGTTTTTACATCCCGGGAACCGAATCCCTGTTTCATCCGAAATTAATTTTCGAATACCCATCGTTCGTTTTCGGGAAGGCAGCGTCTTAAGACTAATTTACGTGGTGATACCAATGACGCCTGTACGTAAAGAGATTTAAATTAGCCCACGACCTCGTGCCACAATCAGCGAACTAGAGATATGAAAATACATACCACAAGCGGGGCGGGTACCCGCATTGCCAGTTTTCTTAGACTCTTCATTTCCGCCATTTCCAAGGTCATCGGTACCCGCATGGACAACAACGGTACGCTGATTCATTCATACAAAGAGATTTACTGGTTAGCAATCGCCAAAACTGTAGGGAACAGGAAAGAAAGTGGGGATAGATGAGGACTTACCCCAAGAATGCTATGCTCGCCAATGAGCTTAATCTGTGGATCCTCAATGGTACCAACGGCATTACCTTCTGCGTCAGTGGTGATGTTGCCTAAGTCTCCGACGTGACGCTCAGCATCAGTGGGCGCGCCGTGGGCTTTGCTGAAGGGGTTGACTATTGTTAAGAGGCATGTTAGCTCTAGCCCTCTGAGAGTGGATTATGGATATTGTCGGATGTAGATGTACTGATATGTAAACATACAGTGAGGGCCAGCAGAGGTGCAGCCATTGGTATTGTCGCCGAACTGATGGATGTGGAATCCACGCAGGGCGTTTGGGTCATTGCCTGAAATATTATATGAAATGACGGTGTTGGAGGACTCAGAGGTCTGCTCGAAGGTTACAGTGCCTTTCACATTGGAGTCACCACGGAGGACAGCGACTACAGCAAGAGAACGGAGAGGGGAGATGTTAGTTCAATTTGCGTTACGAACATTTCTGAAAAAATTTTAAAGGGTTGAGTGCATGGAAAAAGATGGTTATGGCCTAGAGTTTGGAAATATGCTCACGGCCTCGGCAAGATTACTCCATGACCAATCTGCCAGGTACCCAGGAACCAAGGACCGTGGATGAAACTCCCAGGAGTTGCATGAGGAGGGACGGGAAGAATAGCCGGGGGAGGGGAAAAGCTTAAAGTAGAGGAAATCGAGGGAACAAACTTACCAGCCTTGACCATTGTGACGGGACGTGAGCTAACTGGTTAAATACGAAGACAGGAGGCTAGTTGTTGGATGAGGATGAATTGTGGGTGACGGATTCGTGCAGTTGAAGGTGATATAAATAGGATGGCGGAGAAGCAATCTTCCAAGTAAGCAGGTTTTCCTCTTCGATGTCATTTCCTTCCTCAGGAGGGGAAGGCTGACTAACTGCCCCGCCATCGATCGGCCGAGGCTCAATGTGTGGGACGTCTAAGTGGTTGTATTAGCATGCAGGCAGCTAAGGCATATATGTGCGGTGCGCCAGTCCGTGATAGGCAGCCTAGGGCCAACACCTCCCCTCGGACTAGCAGCCGTACAGATATCTATCTAGAAATCCTATTAATTATACATGAAATTGCAAAATCAAATCAAACAAATCAGACAAACCAAGCAATCTATCAATCAGGTTGTTGTTTCCACTTCTTCAGCTGATTGTAATTCCCTTCTTCTTTCATATAACCTGGCTGGTTTTTCAAGAGTTCATCTCTATCCAAAGAAATTGCAGTGTATAATCCTTGATTAGATTGGCTGTTCATAAGATCCTTCTCTTTATCTTGTTCTTCATCTCTCTCTTTACTTTTGTTCTTTGATTCTTTCATCATTTTAATCTTTTCCTTATTATTTTCCCTCCATTCAGCATCTGCTAGATGAGGGTTCTTGAGCCAGCAGATATTATTACGCTAGGTAATCAGAGAATTGAAAGATAGTTGATTCTTCTAAGTAGAATAGCTAGGAGAAGAATGAAAAAAGGATAGAAAAGGTGGGCAGTTCTCAGAATATGCAGGCATGCTGAGGGTTATGTGTATGATGCGTAACACATGGTCACGTATACGTGACACCATTCCCCGACAGAAAAAATGATATCATCCTCAATATCGATATAAGCTAAAATACATGCTTTTTATAACATACAAGGTAGGAAATATTAAGGACGTTGACACCGGGCGCGTCATCTTGTATTGTCTCAGTGATGTACCATTTGAGGGCAATTTTGTATAAGAATATCACAATCTTCCCATGATTCTTTTTCATGACTTCATTGCACTTTTAATTGCTGCTTGTGGGATTCTTGATGTATGTGAGAATCCACAATTTCTTCAACTTTTCAAAATTCATTACCATTCACAATGCAGTCTGATTTGATGAGCAGTGATTGTGAGGGGTGTATGTATGTATGTATGTATGTATAGGTTTAACGTCCCGGAGAAAACACGGGCAGCGCCCGTGTTTCAGAAGCCTCCCGAAGGGCATGGAGACGTGCTACGCTGGAGAGATTTCTATGTACACAAAGAGAGAGAGAAAACAGAATCCAGGTGGCAACTCTTGAGAAGACTCAGCTCATTGCAAAGGATTTTTCTGAGCTGCGCATCCACTTCTGGCCCGACGTATGGCCATTCATGGTGGGGTTATAGTGTGGTTCCCTGAGGGGACCGCCGCTGCCGTGCCTGGAAGGCTTTATAGTGAGCAGAGAGGGATACCTCTCTCAGTTGATCAGAAAGCTGTCTGTGCTTCTAACATCAGAAGAAAGACAGACAAGATAAATAATGAAAGAAAGAGAGGGAAAGTATGTGTTCTGAAATGAAAAGAATAAAAGAGAGAGGTGAAGGAAAGACTGTGTCATCTGCAACACCTTGTAGTCACGTGACCTGGCACAGACCCGGGGGAAAAGAGAGGGGAGAGCACTGAAGAAGGTTGTGGAAGGAAAAGAGCAGAGAATGACAGAGAGAGCAAAGAAAAGAAGGAAGAAGAAGCATTTGAGCCGATAGAGACAAGGGCAAACGAGAGGAAAACAAAGCAGAGTACGCGTAGATACAATGCCGGCAGTCAAAACCATATCAGCTGAGTCAGACACGTAGACCGTACTGATTACACCACAGCTAATTGAGACAGATGAGCCTAGTTGTGCTATCTGTACTGTCTGCATAGACTGCGATGTCCCTGGCAGTTGCACTAGCTACCGTGGGTGTACTCAGCAGGCCGGCCTCGTGGAACTGCTGCGGGGGTTGTCAGATGGTTTGCAGCCAGCCGGCTGCGTTACCTTGTGCAGTACCGTGTGTAGAACTGCGTGCAGTCCAGCAGTTCTACAAAGTCTGTAGGGGTCAGAGACCCTAGATAGGCAACAGCTGTCGCCCGGTTGTGTGGCCGTGCTGCTGGCCTCTTGGGCCAGTGAAGAAAGTGCCTCTGTGAGTGTCGACAGAGCACCAAATGTTCTGGGCTCTTGTTGTGTCCACAGACACAGGTGAGCCTCGCATCTGCATGCTGGAAACGCCTGTGGTACCAGGAGAAGTCCCCATGAGAGGAGCGGAGTGCGAGCCAGCGGTGAAGGGCATGCCGTGGCATGGTGAGCTCCGGAGGGGCCTTCACTTGGTATTCCACAGTCGGCCTGCTGAAACTCCAGCCCCGGTACCAGTCAGAGAGCTTGCCACAGGCTCCACTCCACCACTTTCGCCTTGCCTCTTGGCTGAGCTGCTTGGCCACTGTGCGGACCCCACTGACTGTGGGTGTGGCCTCGAGACCATAGGCTGGGGCTGCAGTGGATGAGACTGCCCGCTTAGCCAAGCGGTCTGCTTCCTCATTGCCCTCTATCCCCATATGCCCAGGAGCCCACTTCAGGCCGACATTGTGCTGTCTGAGGAGCTCATGGCAGCGGTTGTATGCTCAGTTTGAGGAGGCTGCTGCACTGCCCCGTATGCCCCAGATGACTGAAGGTG